ACAACAACAACAACAATAATAATAATAATAACAATAACAACAACAACAATAAACGTCATCCTGCGACGTCAGAAACTGGCTGCCCCATGTGTTGCTGTTGTCCTTGTCTGTTCCGGTGTCGACACAAGACATCAGCACACCCTCAGGTTCCTAAAGACGAGGAAGAGACTCCCAGCGATGGCGTGGGAACTGGAGGCTCTACTCCTGTCATCTCTTTAGCGCCACCACTCAACAAGTACGTAATGAATCAAGGACAAATTCTAACTACTGTCACAGTTGGACAGTTGTGCCGCGCCAAGTCAGAACTGCTTTGAGGCTCAATATGGCCAACACTTTCCAGGCTACGAAAGAGATATGTGGTTCTGAGCCAGCCATTTTGTCTCTGTATACCTTTGATACGTGATATAGCCACTTAAGAGAACATGTTCTGCTACGACAGTTAATGGAATCAAAAATAGAATTTGTAAGCTATTTTAGGTTCTCACGGCGATGAATAATAAGGTTTATATTCTGCCTGGATACGACGCTAGAGGTACGGACGTTTCAGAAGAACTTGTCGCCTCCACCTTCATGATGTGGAGGCTCCAGGTACTCCAAAAGGTTTGTACTGTACCCGACCTTGGTGAGGTTGCTTTCTTGGTTCCAATCCAAGAATAAACACCCTATATCAGCTTTGAACGAAGTTACAGAAATATCAGAAGCCGACTCGGAAATTATTGGTTCTGTTTGTTAGAAGCGGGATGCAGACCACCAAGCACTTCGTTCTGGAATTACATCTGTTTTTCCCGCTTTGGGATTTATGACTTCTTTTCTATTCCGTATCTATTGTTTTACTGAAGAAGGCCGTGCACACAGAGCGAGGGTGCCACACCGAAATTGGAAAAACGTCCCTCTGCTCCACGCCACCCCTTGTTCTTCAAGATTTTTTTATTGCTAGTAGGGTGGGACTAAGTCCCTTGTACTGCGGCCACTTCTGGCCTATTGTACCAGCCCCAAATGATAGGTGAGGGTGATTGTGGAGCAATTGGTGGAATGAAGATTGGCAGGGGAAACCGAAGTACTCGGAGAAAACCTGCCCCAGCGCCACTTTGTCCACCACAAATCCCACTTGACCAAACCCGGGATCGAACCCGGGCCGCTGCGATAGGCAGCCAATCATTAGCTTCTATTTTCAGTCATATAATTGATTCAGCAGTACTCCTGTGTTATCTAAATACCGGAAGGCCAGGTTATCATTATAGTGTTCGGCTACAAAGTTGGTCTCCTACAACTGTCCACTGTTGGGCGCCGTAGAACCCTCATCTAGGCACGCCGTGTTTGCTGGCTTATGTTGATAGCGCTGCATGTTTAGTTGTTTAGTTGTTCTTCTCGAGGTGCGTACAAATACGATTTCTATTATTGTGAAATATAATGTTCATAAATTAAGTATAGAAAAAAAAAATATTCATATGCGATGTCGTAGTACTGGAGGAGGAAATGCCGTAGAAAGTTTCGTACCAAATATTCTGGCAGTACAGTGACGCGTAAAGCAACGATTTACATTGTCGTACAAAATCACATCCTATGGGATCAGTGATTGACTCAAAACTTATGTTCTGTTCGCTTTAGGTGGTTACGTGGAAGTTACGTAAGTCAGAAGGGAAAATCCCTATGCTGTTCATTAAGTGCCACTTTATGGTATGAAAGTTTGGGTATGGCATCCAATTAGTGCGCTGAGTAAAGTGCCTTTTCTTTTCATGTAACAAATTCCGAACGTTATATGAGATTGGTTCTATTACCCTTCTTCAATTGAATATGAAAAATCAGGCGGAAATTTTATGCACGGTAATGCAGTGGCAGATACTGCAAAAAAAAATTCTGTCGTTGCATCAATAAAGAAGTCTTCTGTGAATGAGTCATAAGTCTGGAATTGTGGGCAACCAATTTAAATCCTTGCGATTTGTGTGTGGCACGCTGTAAGAAAAGTTCTGTCTGAAGATTCCGCTCTCGTTGGAAGAACTTCAAGGAAATATTAGCCATGAAATTTCCGTTACTGCCGTGCAGCTGCTTCGACATGTGTCTAGAAACACGTTCTCAGCTGAGAGGCATGCTTGGAATCAAAAGGTTGACACTTGAGGTTCGCGGTGTATGCCCTGGTAAACCGAATGCTATAGTGTAAATGTCCAGGTAGATGGTAGATTAAGGGTTAGGTTAGGTTAGCGAACACATTGCCGTGGGCCGCAAGATTTATTTCTTCTAGGAAAATTAAATATATGTAAATCACCATTTTTCATTGTTTTTTATGATAACTGCTCTGTTAGACCACATGCTGTAGTGTAAAAGTTAAGGTAGACCGCACGCTGAAGTAGCACCGAATGTTATATTCTCATAGCGGTTATTATTAAGATCCCTATTGTCTGTGATACAGTGCCGTGTAGTCCGTTGAAAGTCAACGTACGTTTCAGAAGAACATGTCGACTCCATTTCAGGGTCGAAGAATAATCCAAACAAGGATCTAGCGTGCAGCAGGTCTGGTTTCTTGCTTCGCTTATTCTTCGACCCTCAAGATGGAGGCCAAGTGTTCCTCCGCAACGTCGGTTGACCTTCAACGTACTCGGTATTGTATCCCAGGAAATAGAACTCCTACTGATGATGATGATGATGATGATGATGTTACGACTTCAGATGAACACAAGACAGGATGGAGTATTATAGAAAAGGTGGACGTGTTATTGTTTGAGGTAATTTGCTTGGTGCATCTTGCACACTGAACCCAACATAAGCACACAGTGAACATATTTAGCATATGCTCGTCAAGAATTATGATTTCTTCAATATTTCATTTAACTACGCCATTATAGGAAGAAGTTTATAATATGCTGACACACACTACCAAAACATTTCTCACAACAGCATCCGGTATAAACATGAATTGAGTTTATCTAACCTGATTGGTTACTGAATTCGGATCTGTTTGAGAAACAAAAATATGTCTACTAATGGTAGGAACTTACGCAAGCATAACTACAGACAACAGCTGGTGACATAATGTAACTACGCCTAAGCATCTTCTGAGGAAAAGACGCATATGTAACTTGTGACCATGTCATCTTTATGTTGTGTGTGACGACGCTGTCAGTATCTAAAACTGCATAGCGTCGGCTGGCATGATGAATGATGAATTTTAAGGAAGTGGTTGTTGTCTATCCCAGCATTTGAGTGAAGGAGCTGAAGAAAGTCACAGAAATATTAGTCGAGAATCGAACTACGTAAGATTTGAGGTTTTCACTGCGGTGACTGAAGAAATCTGCCTTCTGGTATGTGGCGCCGTGTAGAAATTGTGTTAACCGACGTTTCAGAGGAACGTATCGCCTCCATCTTCAGAGTAGAAGACAAGAAGAAATCCGCGAGCGAACCAGCTTGAATAGGTGCAACAGACTGAGTCGAGTCGAGTAAACTGATTCGAAATGATCACCTTCCTAATAAAAGTCTATAACTTTACCGATACGCGGTGTCGCCACGTTCTGAAGCCATATCAGAACGACGAAAGTATAATATAATGGGGTATGGCCATTGGGGAGATCAAGGCGTTTGTGCTGGAATTTAATCTCTTAAGAAATGAAGTATGTGTAGGCTGTGCCATAGCTTAGGCTGCTAGTCATCGGCTTCTCGCCACCGAGGCCAGGTTTCAGTCCCGGGATAGTCCACGTATGATTTATGGCGGACATAATGTCACTAAAGCAAGTTTTCTCCAGTCACTTCAGTTTACCCCTGTCACGTTTCATTCCACCAATGCCTCATATATCTGTTGAACGGGACTGGTGGGACAGACCCGTTTGAGTTCACAGTACCTGTATCACCCCGTTCGTAAAAGTGGTAATATTAGGTAAATCGAAATGGTATTAGGGTCAGTGACTGAATTCTATACTGACAAACATTAACGTCCGCAGTGAAGAAAATTTATTCGGAGTTTTAACTTGCTTCTTAAGATTTTGACATTTCATTAACCTTGAATTGAAATACTTTCTGAGAATAGTCCATTTTCATAGACGTAAACCTATTTCACCACCCTGCCAAGCAAGAAACTAGTGTGAAGCAGTTAACAAGTATAGCGTTTGCTTAGCTTCGACCCTGAAGATGGAGGCGGCATTTTTCTCCTAAATATGCGCTGACTTTCAAGGGACTACACAGCGTTATATCCTAAAATGTATACTTCTTCATGACGACCTAAAAATCATGAATTTGCGCATGGTCAGCTATCGTTAAATCGACCATCTCTGTCATATTTTTCCATCTTTTTGGATTTCATAATGTGGTACTGCAGGTGTTTTAATTTTCTCTGTTGGTCGCACTGAAATGTGACTGCTCTGTACAAATGGAAAACTCTTCACTCACTCGTTCCTTGATTATAGAGAACCTGCTAAATATTCTTTCTCCACTTTCTTTGCCTGCGATAATAAACGCTGGTATTTAATTTAGGACTACAACTCTGCATTTTGTACTTTTAATTCTTGACAAAGAACCTAGTTACTATAGGATTCTGACGATGGTGTATAACACACTGATATATTGGGTTTTTGGACTTTATCCATCGTCCTGGTTTTTAAGATAACTAATAAAAACACGACGTTTCGGAAACTGGATCTGTTTCCGTCCTCAGGTGAAGCAAAACACCTATTCTGTTGTTCCAGTTTCCGAAACGTCGTGTTTTTATTAGTTATCTTAAAAACCAGGACGATGGATAAAGTCCAAAAACCCAATATATCAAGAAGGAACCTGTTTTTCATTCCCTTCAAATCCATTGATTTAACATTAAATATTGGTAGTCTGCCCAGGAGATGCAGGAAAAGAAAGAAATTAAATGTTTCAGCAAGCTTCATGGTGATAAGAGTAAAACAACGTTGTAAGTCACGTCATGACAGTAGAAAATTCTTACGCTTGAATGGCATCACAGGTGGATAACATAGATTTTATTGTGTTTGAAGTTCATATTTATTAAAAGAATTCATTTTCGGTTGCAGGTCATCCGGCATCAAGGATGCAGCAGGTGATACTTGCACCATTCCCCAGAAACCTATGTTGGCCAGGCAGGGAGGCCGCCATGATATGTCTTCAGGTAGAACAAAAACTTCCGTTTTAAATGTTTGACACTTTCACTTAGGCTGTAGTTATTTATTTTGTTTCAGAGTTAATTAGTGCGTCTCTGAAACTGACGTCCGTGTTTTTCTTGCCACAATGTTTAATATGCACGTAGAATTGATATATATGACCAAGCAGCCACCAACTGCAAATACGAGTCTCCAGTTTTTAAACCGTTATTAACTTCTTCGGTTCTCCAATGTTACAGCAATTGGCTCAAAGGAGTTGTACGGTACATGCATGTTTTGCATATAGTGTACCGTCTGTTGGGAGCCGGGATAACGCGGTCGGTATAGCGACTGGCTGGACGACCGAGGACTCAAACTTCTAGAATTTTCTCTTCTCCATTCGTCGAGACATGTTCTGAGGCCCATCCAGCCTCCTATCCAATGGATTCTTGGGGCTTTTTTCCCTGTGGTAAAACGGCCGGTGCATAAAGCTTACCACTCACGTCCAACTAATGCCGAGGTCAGGGCCGCGCCATAGCTCAAGCGGTTAGTAGCTGGCTTCCCATCGCGGCGGCCCGGGTTCGATCCCGGGTCTTATTAAGTGGGATTTGTGGTGGACAAAGTGGCGCTGGGTACTTCGGTTTCCCCTGCCAATTTTCATTCCACCAGTTGCTCCACAATCACCGTCACCTATCATCTGGGGCTGGTACAATAGGCCAGAAGTGGCCGCAGTACAAGGGACTTAGTCCCACCCCCACTGGCAATAAAAAAATGCCGAGGTCAAGAAAACATGGATTTACACATCCACTCCCCGTACGTCTTCTTGGCGTAGTGCTCAATTAGTTAAGCACAGGGACAACTTCACCTTACGTCTGCCTTACCTTCTGTTATCAAATCTGGCACCATTTTTAAGATCGATTCAAAGTGTCATGGCCAGAAAGAATGAGAACAGTATATATAAATATGAACTCGAAAATGCTTCGGCAATGAAGTAGAGCTATTCGAATTTGTTCCCGGAAACAGTAGGACCTTAGAACTTCGAATAAAATATGTATGCAGTAAAATAATAGCCCTAGGATTAAATATTTGCAAGACAAGCAACAAAAGAATCAACTTTAACAAATTACGCAACAGGTGACTACAGATGTAGTCTTGCAAGACAAAGGAGTCTTTAAACCAGTCCAGTGAGAGGAGATAACATATGCTGGTAGGGTTACAAGAGGTTTTCAGATTGTTGAATTTACACTGCCACACAGGCTTAAGCCCGACGGTACGTGAAACTATGGTCGTGCTGCAAAATGCGGACCGATATACGCCCTTCAGCCGTTCTTGTGCATTGTCCGCCTCTGAGGCGTACACCACACTTCTTAGACGTCCTTAAGGAAAATGATTAGGGGCATTCAGATCATGTGAATGACTCGGCCAGGACACTGATGCCCGCTTTCCTATCCATCGCCCGGTGCAGGTAGTCTGTCCCTGGCGGTGTGACTAAAATGGGCTGGAACACCTTTATACTGCGCATTTCGTCGAACATCCAGCGGGAAAGTTTACAGCTCTGACAAAGTGTGCTTCGTGTGTGTATTATCGATACTGAAAGCGCCGTTAAACAATACACGATAAAAATAAAGGAATGGAACCTGTCTTCTTATATACCAGCCCAAATGTTGATTAAAAACTGCTGTTGATGTCTTGGTTCGCATGAACTGTGTGGGTTTACCATGCTACAGTTGCGCAGATTGTGTGACACATGGGCTCATGCTAGGCAGCGCCTACAACACACACGCGCCCAACAATACAGGAGCGGCGTTTTCTGTGGTCTGCATACGGACCGTTGCAATGCAGCGCGCGCTACCCACGTTCTCGTGTACGCCGTGACGTCACACAGCAGTGGAGAGCATGTTTTTTTTTTGTGATGCGTGGTCTGTGCCGCGTCTGTATAAGAGAATCGATTTCCGAGACTAGCAGCTGTAGGAGTACAAGAAGTACAACAGAATACGAGAATAAGTTCAATTGTCGGTAGAAGATAGCCACGGGAAGTTAGTACGAGTAGTTGAAGAATTAGAAGTCAGAGTGTGAAGACTTAGTGCGTGATTAGAAGATTTAGTCACAATGAGACTGTTTTAATTCCGTTATCAGGGTACGACTAGTGAAGACTGAAAATTTAGTAGTTGAAGACGAATTAGAAGTCAGTGTGTGAAGACTTAATGTGTGATTAGAAGATTTAGTCACAATGAGACTGTTTTAATTCCGTTACCAGGATACGACTAGTGAAGACTTAGAATCCTAGTGCGTGTTTAACGGTGAACTGTAAATTATGTAAATCAGCGATAGCGCTGTACGAGATGGTATAGGAAAATTCCCGGACTGTTATTGTTGTAACTGCCTCGGTGAAAGTGGATGAGAGGGGAGGTCAAGGTCACATTTCAGAAAGACTATTGCAGCAATCTGCCACGTGACACCGCGCTGTGAACACGCATTGTTTAACACGAGTGCTTTTTCGACTTCGTGTTTCGTTTTGTCTGCGATGGATGGCAAAATCGAGCAACGGGTCTGCATCAAGTTTTGCGTGAAGCTCGGCAGATCCGCTGCCGAAAGCCTTGAAATGCTTCGTAATGCTTTTGGAGAACATTCTTTAAGCCGGACAGTAGCTTTTGAATGACATTCACGTTTCAAGGCCGGTCGAGTGTCAGTTGAAGATGAACGTTCAGGACTACCAAGCACCAGCAAAACCACAGAAAATGTTGAAAAAATTCGAGAACTCATCCACGACGAACGTCGCTGAAGAATCCACGAGCTCGCAGACACCGTTGGGATCAGTTAGGAGTCCTTAACAGAAAATTTGTACATGCGCCGCATTGCCGCCAAGTTTGTTCCCCGACTCCTGACAAATGATCAATAGCAGTGGCGCTTAAACGCATGTCTTGGACTACGAGAGAAGACGAACGAGGGCCCAGTTGTTATCTCTAAGATCATAACGAGTGACGAAAGTTGGATTTACGGTTATGATTCGGAAACAAAGCAACAATCGTCGCAGGGGAAGAGCCCACAATCACCAAGATCAAAAAAGGCGCAGCAGATCTGGAGTTCAACAAAGAGCATGCTCATTGTTTATTCGACATGAAGGGGATTGTTCACCGTGAATTTGTTCCTCCTAACACTACGGTCAACTCTGACTTTTGCTATGACATTCTGGGACGCTTGAGAGAAAAGATGCGACGAAAAAGACTGAAACTTTGGCACAACCGCAACTGGTCTCTTCAGACAACGCTCCTGCCTATAACTCCCTGAAAACCACAGAGTTTGTGACTAACAAAAACGTAGTTATCACTCCTCACCCTCCCTACTCGCCAGACCTAGCCCCCTGTGATTTCCCTTGTTTCCCAGATTGAAAATGAAATTGAAGAGACGACATTTTGAAACAGTGTCTGACATCGGAAGGGAACCGCAAGTGGTACTCGTCAGCATTGAAGAAAATGACTTCCGCGGTGCTTCTGAAGCGTTGAAAAACGATAGGATCGCTGTATACGTTCCCAAAGAGACTATTTTGAAGGAGATGGCAGTCAAATTGAGTAACTTAAGCCAGTATTTCTTTTTTTACCTAATCCGGGAACTTTCCGTTATCACCTCATGTTACTTGTAAGTACGAGTTGATTGTATAAGGTGTTAATAAATCTGCTCACCAATCCAACCCCTTCTGTAATCACTAATACACGTCTTTGTCAAGTGTATTGAATGGGCGAAGAGTTTGCAGCTATTATACAAGATATCGTTACCATGTTGTCAAAGGAACCACTTGGAAACATTTCTTGACGTGGACGAAAACCAACCAAACTTGGAGCTCGCACCCGTTGCAAATGGCAGAGATACAGTAACAGTTCATGAAGAACAAGCGCGTCCCATGTTCGGCAGCTTGTACACGACGTAATCATAAGCGGGTGGCTTCTGTTTTACGTCCTTTAGTAAAAATCTTTCGTGCACTTCTCTATCTTTCACGGTTTGTCCCCCTGATGCAACGGTCAGTGACATGGAAGGTGAGTGGGTGCGGAAGTCTGCGACGAGGATACCTCCTCACATATATCCTTACAGCTGTCCCCCTGATGCAACGGTCAGTGACATGGAAGGTGTGTGGGTACGGAAGTCTGAGACGAGGATACTTCCTCACATATATCCTTACAGCTGCCCCCCTGATGCAACGGTCAGTGACATGGAAGGTGAGTGGGTGAGGAAGTCTGCGACGAGGATACCTCCTCACATATATCCTTACAGCTGTCCCCCTGATGCAACGGTCAGTGACATGGAAGGTGAGTGGGTGCGGAAGTCTGCGACGAGGATACCTCCTCACATATATCCTTACAGCTGTCCCCCTGATGCAACGGTCAGTGACATGGAAGGTGAGTGGGTGCGGAAGTCTGTGACGAGGATACCTCCTCACATATATCCTTACAGCTGTTGCCACGGGCTTCGCTTAGAATGACGTGAATACTTTCAAATTCTTGGAAAAAGTAATCGTCCGTTTTAAACGCAGACTTAGCAATGTAACTACATCAATGGAAAAACAGTTCTTAACTGTTTGTGTACTTCACTGGAATTGAAGGCCTCGTGTCACATTCTAGTGTACATGGTCAACTCACTGTCACTGAACGCGCGACGACTGTGTGTTTCGACGTCGAATGGGAAATGCGGTAGTGTTGAAAGACAAGCAGTCATTCACATCTTCCACTCTCAACCCAGTTTCCTTAAAATGTGTTCCTGGAATAAAGTATTCTGAAATAAGGATTGTACTATCCCACAGCTTGCAGAGAGCTGAATAATGAGAAGCTCCATAACTTATACTCTTCTCCAAGTATAATTAGAATGATCGAGTCGAGGAGGATGAGATGGGCAGGGCATGTAGCACGAATTGGACGAAGAGGAATTCATATAGGATATTGGTGGAAAAGCCCGAAGGAAAGATACCATTAGGAACACCAAGACGTATGTTGGTGGATAATATTAAAATGGGTCTTAGAGAGATAGGATTGGGTGGTATGGACTAAATTGATCTGGCTTAGGATAGGGACCAGTGGAGGGCTCTTTTGAACACGGTAATGAACGGATTCCGCAAAGTGTCGGGAAGTTCTTGAAGAGCTGCACAACTGGCGGCTTCTTAAGAATGGCCCATTTCCATGAAGTTAGTTACTTAGTTACTATCCTACTGCTGCCGGGAACTCATGGGTCTCTAATTCATTAACGAAGAATTTGTGAACCAATGTTTATGTTAACTGTTTTCAGCGTTTTGAGACTATATCACTCACCCTCCAATTAACTGCGCTTATTTATACGTACGTAGCACCCTGCATAATTGTCAAATGTCCGTCTGTCTGTCGTTCCGCACTGGTCTTCCAAACGACGCATTGTAGGAAAACATTGACATTCCCGGAGAATGTTAATGTGCCTGTTACATTCACGAGTTAGAACCCAAGTTAGTTCCTTCCTTAGATATTTCCTCCTTGAGAAATGCGTTTCATAGATGACGACAGTGTTTGCGTAAGCGCGTTATGCTTTAGAGACTTTATGCGTGCTGTAGTTGTAGTGATTTAAAATGTGTAAAGCAGTGATATCGTTCTAGTTGTTTTTAGTTACTCTTTATAGGCGTTCATTAAATCAAATTATGAATGTAACCCCATTCCTAGTCACTAACACGTGACAGTAGTTTCTGATGTTGCAGTGTAGATGTTTCTGTAAATGTCTGTATATTCCATCTACTACGGGAACGATGGTTCTTCGTCGACCAGTAATTGCCGTAGACCTTCATGTCCTTAGATAATTACTGGATTATTTTCAACATACATCTGGTATTCATAGAGAAACAAACTCCGTGATTTTAGTCCGCAAGCGAACTATACCGACCGAGCACCGCTTGTCGGCGAAGTTTGGTGCCAACTTTTGCGGATAGCGGTGTCGCGTGGTGAGCGCAACGAATCCCCACGGCCGTTAATTTCGGTTTTCTAAACCGGAGCCGCCATTTCCTTGAAACAGCTCCTCAATTATCATCACGAGGCTGAGTGCACCCCGTTCCAGACACACTACTTGAAAAAAAAAATCTGGTAGCACCGGGAATCAAACCCGGGCCTCTCCATCTGTAACCAGAAACGCTGACCAATAGACCACAGAGGCGGTCATGGTACTTATACACCAGAAGGAAATTAAAACGTATTGCTTCCGAAAAGTTGGTATGATAACGTAGATAGGCAGAAGTCCGACGCCCTCATCTTCCTGTTTGACCCATTATGTGTATATCGGGTACTGGTGATGATCATTAGCAGCAAAGAAGAACAAAGTTAATCATATGCGAATTTGAACTGTTGGCGAATATAAAACAAGCTCAATTGCGATCGATTCTGAATTGTCAAGCTCTTACGAGCATGTCACGTGTGCTTGTTCTTCACTGTTTAAGGAACATGTTATTTCTGTGCGTTATTTACGAATAAAAGAGCCCGTTATGGGGAAGTTATGTTTGTCTCTGACAATTTGAGACTTCCTAAAGTCGGGCACTGGAATCGGACAATTCGAATTTTCGTTAGAAGTGTACAGTAATAACGGATAAATTACGTGAAAATCTACATAAGTTTCTCTGCTCATTTCGAGCGCGTACCTCACCAAATATCTATTGGTAAGAGAAATGTTTCAAACAAAAGTTATAGATAAGATCTAAAGTTTGTGATGACTGTACATCAGTACAAATATTATGTTTCTGGACATCGTCCTGTCTTTATATAAAAACACCGTCCTGTTTATTTTTCATAACACAACGTTTCGGAGACTGGATTCTCTCTCTGTCTTCAGGTAAAGCCTACTCTGCTGGGCTAGTCCCTATCTCCGGACACCTGTGCCACCACCAAGATGGGGTATACAAGTCAGACCACAAACCATCTGCGAGAACTAATAAAACATTAAATTATAACAAATTCTACACGTGACTCATTGCACCAGAGAACTATCACGATAGAACTCATCGCTGGAGAGAAGCAATATTCGAGAAGCAATCAACACAAGAAAAGCAAATTTTCCCACTCAATCTCCACTTGATGGAGTTGTAGTTATTTTACTTCTGCTTCCAGATGGGAGAGATGTCCAAGCTGGGTTGACTGATCAGATGGTCCAGCAGAGACATGAAGGCTGATTCCTTGTATTTCCTGTATGTGGATGTTGGGCTAATTTTGTAGAGACAAACTAAGTACATTTTTTAAATTCAGGTCATTTTTTTTCAATTTCTGCTTATTTAAAGATACCATATTTTGCAGGATTTGTGGTTCTCGTAGCGATGGTCATGAAGAGTTCTATCTTCTGCCATATAATGCTTTGTAGTCTGTTGAAAGTCAAGCAACATATCAGAGGAACATTTTACCTCGCTCTGTTTGCCACATTTTTAAGATGTTTTCTTGAAGCCTGAAGATGGAGGCAACATGTTCCTCCAAAATGTCGATTGACTTTCAATGTACTACACTGCGGTATATCCCAGAAGATAGAAGTCTTCAATAATTTTGTTACTTTCTCTTGCAATATGAGAACCATTCAAAAGATTCTGATGGAGTCTTATATTGAAAGGGCTAGTACAGATTTTCAGTGGTCATATGTCAGTCTGTTTGTGACTCGGTGTCGGCACATATACCTTTGGACATATACACATGACTTTAATTTGATATGGGAGACTTCCACTGAAAGTTGTCAGACTGTTCCAATTTTCAGACATATTGACCCACAGTAAAGTCCACTTTCCTTTTGGCCACAAGATGAATTTTACATGAGCCATTCCTTTAACAGGAACTCAAAAAGATACGTCCATAGTTTCAAATTTTTAAGTTCTCACACATTACATTATTTCATGTCTGGCTGAACAACCAGTTTCAAGAAAAAGCGATATTCTTATATGATTATGTGGAAGCCAACAAAAATACCAATTTCTCTCAAGGACCTGTTCTGTGTGTGCAAGATTTAACAATGTATCAGTTATTTAACAGCATTTAAAATGCTAAATATGACAGAAATTATTTCTAAAGAAGACACCTTAATACTTGGAAGGATTATTTATTGATTTTGTTGTTTAAGAATAGAAGTCAGAATAGCTCAGTTAGCATAGTGACTGGCTACAGTCTATACTGCTGGGGTTAGATTCCCAGCATGGATAAGTGATCTTTACCTGCACTGCATTCAGACCAGTCTGCGGAACACCCAGCCTCCCATTGAACGGGCACCAGGGGCTATTTCCCCGAGGGTAAAATTTAAAATTTAAAACATTACTGGAGTTATATAAAATGCAGTAGACCTATAGAATTTCTTCCATGGATGTTCCATGAATAAGAAAAAGATAATTTGAAACAAGGTTTGAACTTCAAAATATGTAATGAAGTTCGATGTTGTTCACATTCAATGATCTCAGTGTTTACACAACTGCATATAAAACTGACTGTTACATTTATTAACAGCTGGTATGTATTATGAAAATGGAAGCAAAATATCAAATGGATTGTTCACCCCACCTGCTGAGCCATTCTTGCCTGCTGTGGACCCTTCAACACCCAAGCTGTCCAGGGCAAAAAGGTCTCCACATCAGCAACAAGATGAGCTGGAATTCAAGAGTCTGGACGAAAATGACGAGGCTTGGAAAAATGATTCACTTGCCTATACAGTAAGTAACAATAGTTAAGTTTCTTACCTTGATATGTCTGTAACCTGCCTCTGCAGTAAAAAGAGCACTCTCTCCTGAAATGTGATACCCTAGAGTCTGATGGATTGTTACCAGTGACTTGGAGGAACCTTTGCCTCCATCTTGAGGGTAGAAGAGTTCTTCTTTTACTCTGAAGAGAGACGCAACACACTTCTGTAACACATTGGTGACCATCTGCCAGACTGTATGGTATCACATCCCAGAAGACAGCAATTTTTATATTCTACAGCCAAGAGAATTTCAAATCTCACAAGGTTCAGTAGCATTTAGTAATTTAAATAATTGATCAATTCTGTGTAGCATAGCCCTTTTTAGAAAAGGAGTCAAGAAATTTCTTTCCTTCTATGGAACTTGAAGGAAGAAAATGTATTGGTGGTGTACAAGTCCACCCATAACGAATATTTCAGTAGTCTCATTCACAGTGTGTGCTTGTGGTCTAAGGCAGTGTTTGTCAAGTGATGGTATACGTACATGAGAGAAGTCATAACTGAGAATTGAATTGAATTGAATTTATTTACATTCTATAAATCCTAANTGGGTGTTAAGTGAACATAACTGAAATGTCTGAATATTTGTTTTTAAGTTTCAACTGAGAAACAGTTTTGTAAATTGTTATCAGTGTAAAAGGTCTATGTGTAGAAGGAAATTAAATGTGCAACTGTTTTTGCATTTGAAAACTTTTGGTACTTTGAACACAAATTTTGTGTTCTTTGTTCTTTGTTTGTGGATGATACTTGTATATAGTTGACAGAGAAGCAAGAACATCATGTTCTTTGCAAATTGTAACATGGCCTAACTGCAGTGAAATCACGGTACAAGTGCTGGAACATGAAACTCAATGAAGGGAAAACTCAGGAGATCAATTTCTCTAGAATACTTAAAGTGTGTTGGTGTCATCTTCAATAGGAGGATGACATGGAGGCTCTGTATCGAAAGTACTGCATCCAAGGCTCTGGGCATGTACATAAAGACCTATTTGCTATTCAAATGTGAGCATTAAAACATTAATGCTAAACTAGGTCAATAATGGTTTTTGCCTGTCCCACCTAGGAGTGTGCAGTGGACACTCACCATTTGAAACTGCAGCTTCTGCAGAACCGATTTAACCACACTATTGACAACATTGATTGGTGCACATTGGTCCCCAAACTGCACGTGGCTCTCAGAATTCTTTATGTGTACAATTATATAACAAAACTGCAGGAAACAGGCAGAAAACATCCAAAATCATCAAAATCGAAATATACATAGTGTGACAAGGAGAAGCCTTGCCCTGGAAGTATAAGAAGCTTAAACTCAGTGCAATTTCAGAGTTGTAAAATAAGTTGAGGCATAATCCACTGCAGAACCATGCATTTACAGATGTCCTGTGTATATCTTAAGTAAATGTTTTTCACTGTAGTAAAGTGCAAAGCATGTATGGTCCCCATAAAGCACAAATGCCCTTACTTGGGTGCTCCGCAAGTGAAGAAAGAGTGAGAGCAGGTGCAAGCAGACTAATGTCGGAAATAACAAAAATTTGGTCATGAGTCCTGACTGGGCCTGAAACCAGGAGCAGCTGAAATTTGCTGTACTGGATTGGGCTGGGTTTCAGTATACTTACAGCATGCAGTGAAGTAATGTAATGAATATAAGGGGTGGCCATAAAAACCGGCCCCCGCACTGCGACCTTCAATGATCTATTGTGCTTCCCCTTGGATTAGCCCTTTATTAATCCTACACTCTTAATAAAGTGTAAGTCCCTGCTTATGGGGGCATCATAAAAGTGACTTGGTTCCATAGAGAACTGACCCAAGTGACGAAATCTTAAATGAGCTATGGCCTCACAATCACACAGGTTATGTGTGGCTGATTCGTTTTCTTGTAGGCACCTTTCACAAGTTGAGTTATCTGTCAGTCCCAACTTGAAAAGGATGCAATGAAGTAGGTTGATTATGCAGAAGAAGAAAGTGAAAACAGTATCTCTTCATGACATCTAGGAGCATTAAAATTCCAAATATGTAAAAAGTATATGAAACTGTGTGTAGTCTGATATGGATTTCATCTTTCAATTCTTGTTAGAATATAGAATCTTACACTGAAAATATCTCTGTCCCTTACAAGCATACGGATAATTCTGCTGTGTCAGCTATGGATACTTTTGAGGCTGAAGAACGTGCCATGAAGTTCCACCTCCTGAAGGTATGTGTAACTGTTTACATAGCATCAGTATACTGCAGAATTACGTGATTCATTGAATGTGCAGGAACCTAATTTGTTTGAAGGACCACAGTAATTGAAAACCTAAATACATATGTATATGGGCTAAGTTGACAAAATATGTCAACCAAGAGCTTGAAAAATATACAATATATGTATATTGTGACTTGTACAATATCTGCATAAACTTCTCTGCTTTTAAGAATTTGACTAATATAGTATCATAATTTCTTCAGTGTGCATCATAAAAAGTGTCATCCAATTTCCTGCTCTTGACTGCATCTATACTTATAATTTATAAGTTGCTGGCACAGGGATATAGGTTTAACACACAGAAAAGATTAATGTCCATGTATTAGTTGCATAACAGACTGAAAAGCTAATTCAGCTGCACTTGCTGTCTTGGCTGACAGTACATTAATCAAGTCAAACAAAAAATGTAAAATTAAAGCTTTAAATTAACTGAGTTAGGACCTGAACCATCTTATGGTACATCAGAGAGAGTTGAGTTGCCAGGTGGGCTGTTATTGACTGGCTGAAGCAGTACCACCGAGAATGTTGCAAATCCTTACCTAGACAAAATATGGAAAGCACTTCCTTTGGGGACCCTTCGTCAAGAGGGCTTGGGGACTACTTGAACCAAATAGGAACCAGTTAAAAATTTTACAGACTACTTACAGGATGAAGAAAGCAGTCTTCTGGGATTTGGCACCGTGTATATGTGGTGTTAACCGACGTTTCGGAGGAACTTATCGCGATACATTCCTCCGAAACGTCGGTTAACACCACATATACACGGTGCCAAATCCCAGAAGACTGCTTTCTTCATAGTCACCGCCGTGAAAGCCTCAAATCTTACATACTTACAGGATAATATGACCTGAAAAGACTTCTGCTGAAAATGGTATTAGTATTAAACTACTTGTTTAAGGTGCACTGACAAGCAGCCTCACAAATCCCATCTGCCTGTGAGGTTCTAGCTGAATTAAGATTTCATCAACTGAGACATAATTTCATGAAGTCACATGACTATCAGATGTCCTCATTAAGCAAATAATTGCTCTTCATTTGAACTGTGGAGCTGCTAGAGGATAATTTTACAAAGACTGTAGCATTAAAATTTAGGATTCTGTTACACTAACATAATAAGTATTAGAGATTTATCAGTCATTTCCTTCCAACACTCACTGTATGTCCCAGGCAGTGTGGTTTTAGCACACATCACTTGCATACATCAGGAAATACCCGTATATTACAGGGTGGGGCGCAGAAACTTCCTTATTTTGAAGGCAAATAGAAGAAAAATTATTGCTGATAGACAAAATTTATGTTTAGCTAATGAAAGAACATACTTTAAAGTTTTAAATCATGTAGTTTTAAACAAAATATCTTGAAGGTGGTGGCCACCATTCTCTATGCACTGATGCAACCGTTTTCTGAAGTTCTTAAGTTCTCTACCCACAAAACAATTGATTTCCAGTCAGGAACCGGACCTCTGGGCTTAATTCTGAAGTGAGTACGGAGCGCATGCTGCGCCGCCACATAGGAATGGTTGTTCGAAAAATAGGCTTCAACAGCAAACGCACGCTGCTCACTCGTCCACCTAATGTTTCCTACTGAGAGGTATTAGACAGAAACTTCCGCGACTGCTGCGTTCACCGAGCCTATCCCCACTTTTCTGTGATCTCCCCTCCCTTCACAATTTGTCTTCACAAAAAGGAAGTTTCTGTGCCCCACCCTGTAGCTTTGTTCATTTGATGAAAATTGAAGGTTAAAATCAAAGCTCCAGTCCATTAATTGCAGTCCAGTGCATAATTGGTACAATTCTCTATTTCTTTTGATCCTTGGTATACAAGTATTTGCACTGTAGGTTGTCTTTTGTTTGTTTGCTGTAATGTGTAATGGCATGTGTTTATATTTTTGGTATAGTTCTGGTATAGTATACATATTGTAATATGTAAGTGTTGCCAAGAAACGACTAAAGAATCACTGATATTTATAGACTGTAGAATATGGTGACTCAAAGCATGTCATTTAACATTCACCCCTTGAATGTAGTCTGATTTAATCTAATCTAGTGTAACTTAATTCTGATAATGGCTACATTCCTCTGTGTTCATTGCCTTCTATGTGTACATGAGGTGGACCACACAAATGTTTATTTAGTTTAAAATGGGAGAGGCTTAATGAGGTCTATGATAGAGTACTGCCATTTGCATGCAATCTAATTTCCCCTGGCTGGTGTCTCTAAATTTGGAATATAAATCAGTGAATTTACTTTCTTAGACAAATGCATCAGAAAATGAATAAAGCACGATTTCCAATGTGAAGTGAAACCCTAAAATCCAGCATCTTTTTTCTATATTAAAATGTTCATGTCAGTACTATTAAGGAGAATGAGGTTGGCAGTGCATATGACACATGAAAGAGGTGAGATATGCATGAAAATCACAAAGGCTACAAGGAAGACAACTCTTGGAAGTCCTAGGCATAGATGGGAGAATGTTATTAATATTTGTCTTAAAGAAATGGGGTGGGAGTATGTGGCCTGAATTCTTGATGGACTCCAGTGACAGGTTTTTATGAATATGGCAATATACATTTGGGTTTCATAAAATTCATGGAATTTCTTGAGTAGCTGAGTGACTGTTAGCTTCCCAAGAAGGGCTCTGTATCATGGTCACGGCGCTCTGAAGTTGTTTGACCAAGGTACTTTATGACCAGGCCTCCACCCACTGCAAAAGGCATATTGTGTGGCTACTCCAGCCTCGAAACCACTCCTCAACAACTCGCTAACTGCCTACTGGTACAAGCCGAGACCACCATCTGTAAGATATACATAGTAACGAACAGTACCCACAGCAACACACCAGGCTATCAGTGCATTTTCTGCAAGAGTCTATATAACAACACTACACTAAAATTCACTACAGCGTGTGGTCAAATAGTATGGATGCCTTGATATGCTATTGGTTGCACAGAAACGTCCTATTGAAGATCCATGATGGAAAGATTATACTCAGTGACCAGATTTATGGGCTGCCATGTGTTCCATCTGATTATCTCTTGGGTGCTTTTTTCTACATTTTAATTGATCTTACTCTTAATAAAATTGTTATCAGAAAGTATCTGTCCATCCATCCATTTTTAATATGTTTTAAGCTTTTGATATGTTCATGACACAGTTGCAATGTGGGTCACTAGTTCATATCTAGGGTAAGCAAGTAAACGAGAAAGCAAGAGACAAAATGTATTTCAAGACCAAAACTCACAGAGTGTCATGATGTTGCCCAAGTTAATACAAAGTCATGAAGCAAAAGTGGAATTTTACTGATTTGCTGTATCACGAGATTTATAAAGTATAAAATAAAATATTTATAAAAGGTTACCTACTATTTATTTTCTTTGACGTGTTTGCATTAAGGCTATGAAATTAATTCATAAAATTACTTCTCCTCTGCAGATAGTTTCCCCTTGTGCATGTGTCTTGCATTTAGATTCATTTTCCAGTCAGGTAAATAGTGTAGTGTAGTGTGCTTTAGTACAGTGTTGAAAAATGGCTAGTTTTATAAATTATTACAGCAGAAACAATGTTTTACCAATGTTTAATTCTCTCTCTTTTCTCAATTCTCAAAAATTTTCCAGATCCACATCATGATCTCATAGGACTTGAAAAGCAATTCTTGTACATGTCTACTAAAAACTGGGTGTTTACTGTTATCAGTAAACTAATTCAAGAATCTTGTTCTTTTACAATCTATCGAGAAAAGTTAATCGGAAGCAATCTTTATTTAATTTTAGGAACGAGAGCAGTTGGAATCCATTACAGTTTCGCCATCTGTACCCTCAGCACCAGTTATCAATGAAAGCACTACCACCACAAAGGTGATACAGCTTGACACCAAGAATCAGGGAAGTGTTCCATCACTCCACAACTTACAGCACAGCCCCCCCTTGCTGTCACATGCAGAGAATGCAGATAATGTGAACAATGATAATCAGGGCTCACAGCCAACATGCAACACTGGCTCTGTCATTGATCTGCATCTAGAAGTGGAGGACAGTTTGCAGAAGAGTATGTCAGTAGCCCCCCTCAAACAAATGCGGAATGTTAAGCGTCCAGTTGGTGCAAAGATTCCAGCAACAACTCCAAGAATAATGTAAGTACCTCAAGAAGTGAATATGTTTAAAGCATTTTAAACATTCATATTTTGCATTTAAAGTGAAGGACATAGATGAGAGTGTTTGAAAGAGAGATCTTGAGGAGAATATTTGAGCTCAACAGAGAGCAGATATAACCAGAGGATGATGGGACATGGAGGAGCTTCATAATTTGTGAATTCAACAGTTATCTGTCATCCAGGCTTCCAGAATTCTCATTCAACTGACATGTTTTGAAAGACAATTTGCCATTCACAGAAACTTGTTTCAAAAACAAATTTCCAGTATGCTTACTCACCCTTGGCAGTTCTCCCAGCTGCCACTAGTAGCACCACCTGTTATCATTGAGGTGTCATTGTAGTTGTAGTGATTCATGACTACAACAGAAGCCAGATATAATTGTGACTGCAGGACAGTGTATCCTAAATCATTCATACAGCAATCTGCTCTGTCACCCAAGAAAACACTCGCGCGAGAACTAAAGAAGAAAAGTGTGTTGACTTCAAACCAGAAAATGGAAATGCACAAAAGACCAGAAAATTATAAAAACAGTGTGAAACTTTGTTTCTCTGGGTTTTCTCTATGGATCTGACAGATTTCTTTAACCAGAACATTCCAGTCTTCATACTTCCCATATAACAGAGAGTTTACTATATTATATATTGTGTATTGCTGTATTATGAGTAATAAAATTAAGTAGGATGAAAAAGATGGGGCATGAAGCACACATGGGAATGATGAGAAATGCATACAAAATTGTAGTTCAAAAACCTCAAGGGAAGAGACCAATTTGGTGACCTAGGCATAGATGTAGAAGTAATATTAAAATACATGTTCAAAATATGGGATGTGAGAGAGTGAACTGGATTCAACTGGTTAGCTGCTGTGAACTTTGAAGCTTCATAAAAGACAGGAGATTTTCTGACCTAGCTTCTCAGGAGGGACTATGATATTTGTTCTTCATGACGTAATGGTTGGTTATTTATTGTATTGTCAGTATTTTTGATAGACATTTATTCAGACAGATACTGACGTTACTGTATCTGTTAAATTTAGCATACATTGTAGGCTATATTAAGTGATATTTGTGACCATTTTCTAACAGTCCCTGTTAATTAATAAATTTATTTATTTATTTATTTACTTTGCCTAAAATGCAGAATGACTGCATAGTTTATGTATGCCTAAATTTACAGGCAGTTTCATGACAGCACCTGCACAAAGCTGAATAGTGGCCTGTTTCCTGATACCTCGTATCCTGTGGACAAGCCGAAGGAAGCCCTGCAACAATGCTTCATACACCTCAGCAGCTCAGAATGGTTAGTATCGCTTTTCTTTAAAAAAAATTAAACTTTTAAAATTAGAGTACAAGGGAAAATGTAAGTAAGGCCTCTCTTATTTTAATAAGTACTGATAAGGTACATAGATGGGATATCTCAGATGCTGTAGCAGTGGGCTACAGACAGGATAAATGGCTGGCAGGGCAAGAGATCATTCTTTACTCCACAGCATTCAGACTGGCTCTGGGACCCAGCTGTTGGGTACTGGGGGTTCTTTCTCCAGGATTAAGTAGTAAGGCTGACTTCACTCACTCAACATCTATTGTCATGTCATGAATGCTGGATCTATACCTCCATTCATCCTCCCTCTCCTCCCCCTTCATCTTCATGGCATAGTTCTTAGTTGCTTAATTAATTATACACGGGGACAAATTTAGTTTTTGTCTTTACTGGTAAGATACATCATATATTACAAATGTCTGAAAACAAAATGTTGAAGAAAATACCAGGGCCCAAGCTGGACAAAATAAGAGGGCATTTCATATGTGACAAAGCAAGACACTTTGCGATATAACTTATGCACTATACATTATGTAGTAAATTATGGTAGTGAAATCTAGATGTTTAAAATAGGCTGGATATGTAGCTTGGATCTGTCAAACAAGTAATTCAAACAGAATTTTGTTGGAGTAACTCATTGCATTGCAACCATTTTGGAACAATCTAAAAATCTCTTAACTTGTCCCAGGATATCAAGTTTTAACAAAACTAACTTAAGGATTCACACAATCACTGTATCCAATACAAATCTATAACTCTTAGCCAATGTAGAGAATAGAAGATAACAGTATTTGTAAAACAGTCTGATGATTGCCAATATGCCAAAAAATTTTACATAATAAAACATTTTATATATTCCACTTAATTATATATAAAATCTCTGATCAAGGAAACCCAACATGATGCTCTGAAACAGTATTTCATGGACTACTGTGTACAAGACACTGAAAAATGTGTCAACATTAGCGGTAATTATTAATAGGAATTGCCTGTTTGAAGTGTTAAACTCACTTTCATTATTTAATTTATTTTGACAGTATCGCATTATAACATTGATACCTATCTACCAAACTACATGTAATCATATCCCTGACACCATCATCTTAATTATAACAGGCTAATTGAAGAAACAGTACATTCTAATAAGTTTAGAATTGAGAGATGGTAGAACAGCCTGAAGAAAAGACAACTAAGAAGACCTAGGCATAGAAGGGAGGATAATATTAAAAAGGGTCTTAGAGAAATAGGTTGGAAGGATATAGACTGGAATCATTGGGTTCAGAATTGAGACTAGTGACAGGCTCTTCTGAAAACGAAAATGAAGATATGGATTACATAAATGCTTGGTATTTCTTGATTAGCTAAGCAAATATTGGCTTCTCAAGAAGAATTAGGCTGCATGGAATTAGCTAGTTAAGTTAGTTAATGAAAGTTTTATTATAGGATACTTATGAGATGTGTTGCAGCTAAGTAAAGTAGGTGTTTTTTTCCAGGGAAGTGACGATGCAGGGCCTGCAATTGTTGGTACGTCTGATGCGCCATCATCCTGAAACCATCCGCACTCAGCTTCATTCTGTTATTGTGGCTGTGGGGAAACAAGTGCGCAACCTCCGCTCACAAGTGGCACGTGCTGCTTGTCAAGCAAGCGGAGAGCTCTTCCTGTCACAGAAAAGGGCTCTTGAGACTGTAAGTGCTACTTGACAGCAGTTGTGGCTGTGGCTGTGAGAAAGGGTAGAAGTCACTGAGTTCACAGTGCAGATGGTGCTATAGTCAAACACAGTATGATGGACAGCATACAGTCATATGATTCTGATGTTGAGAGAGGCCAAGGAAATGCATACATGTAATTAATCACTGTCTTCATAACTCTTCAAGCCCTTGGATTATATTGATAGAGAAGCTTTAGGATTCAGTTTTCAGGCATTCTTGCAAAGTATTCTAATCATTTTAATTTTATGTTTTATTGTACAATCTCTACACAGTGTGCCTAAGAAAAGCATGGATTTTGAAGATCGTGTTTGTCTGTCCATCTATATTTCAAATCCAGATTCATTGGATGAATTTTAGTAAAACTGGTTATGCCATCAAAAGTGTCGCTGTTGGCCCTCCAAACTGTCTCTGCCCTGCACAAAACGTTGGTGCCACTTAAACACAGCTCTGCGGCCGAAAGCTTCTTCGCCATACACTTGCTTCATCATGTTAAACGTTTTGCTAGGGTATTTGCCTAGTTTTTGGCAGAACTTGATGTTTGCCCGTTGTTCGAACTGCCACATTTTTTATTTCTGCCACTCACATTTAACTGCAGTTCACAATAGAGGCCATAGTTCTGCTTACACTGTTTACACACAATTGCCTCTTGCTGTGACGAGAGAGGAACTGACAGGACATCATACCGTGGCTCAACCTATCCACTGCAGTGCACTGCAACGACGCTTTGCGACCAGTCCACGAACTTATTGACTACAGTAGTAAAAGCAGGGGTGTTTTGAATGTGTGGAATAATCCAAATTCATATAAAACTTTGTTTTGTGACTCTAGCCCTTTGTTACAGATGTTAAGCTTTATCTTGCACAGTGCAATGTATGTTTGTATTAAAACCATTGAACGTAATTGGGTAGTTGAACTAAGCAAGTTGGCTCAAGTTGTGAAACTTCTAATTTCTGTTTGTGATATGCCTAATTTGAATTACAGCCAGAATACTGACTATCCCAGTGGAGTTTCTTGTGAGTATCCTTAGTCCCTCCAGGCAAGTGATAAGATACTCGTATTACCTCAAATTAAACCTCTGCTTCCTTGCATTTCAATTCCATCTCATTTTCACTAATAATCCTATAATTCAATGCTATTCAATCTGAGTTATTTGAATTTCCCTGGAATGATATCTTCAGGAAAATCATCAAGAACAAACAATTCTCTCTCTCTCTCTCTCTCTGATAATGGAAAGCCACGTGACAGTTCTCCAGCTTAGAAGATAGGTACAGGTATTATGTGAAACTCAATTATTTGGGCTTACCAAATTTCATAACTTGTAGTTTTTTCTTACCAGCCTGTCCACAGTTGAAGGCGAAATTGACAGTTATCAGCTAGATGGGCCATCACTACAATACAGCAGCATTATACTTGATGCACTTAATAACATGTTTCCTGGGTAGTGAATATGGAAGTGAGGCCCTGTGATTTGGCCTGTAATACTACTAGATTTGACATCCAATAATTTCATCTGGGGGGGGGGGGNAGAAGTGTTTTATATGAGTGTAAGGGGCAAATGGTTATTTTTATGAACTCGAACAGTGGATCCCTGCAATTATTGATGTAAGAATTACAGAGGTACCAAGGCATGTGTGGTCTGAAAACAGTCATTGGCTACTTGTCTCTGATGATGCAAAATGAGATGATGTGAAAATTTACTGACTGAAAATTTTTCAGTTAAATTTTATTTAAGTGTTTTTCAGTATGTATAGTGAAAATACAGCCCCTTAAAATCCAAAAGTGACCTCTGTTGAACTGAAAGTTAAAGAATTATTGTTCATGGTGGTTGCTTGTTTTATTCATCACATTTGATGTGGGGTATTATTTCTTTCTTTCTTTCTTTCTTTCTTTCTTTCTTTTCTTTCCTATTACACTTTCATATTTTGTCTCCTTCCATTCTTTCTCCTGTTTTTCTTTTTAATTTCGTGTCCACTCTGTTGTTATTCCCTTCCTCCCTCTCCTTCAAGCTAAAACAGCTCCATCACCTCTGTTCTTCCATAATTTTACCTGCTTCTATTTTTACTCCTACTTTCCTTTCCCATCCAATTTATATTTTATCCTGTTTTCATTGGTTGGATATACAAGTGTAAGTCAATAAGTAAGTTACAAATTGATATAGAACTTAAACAGATAAGAGTACTGATTTGAAAAATGCTTTTGTTTCTCAACATAATCTCCCTGTACATTGAGACACTTGTCCCATCATTTCACAAGCCCCTGAAAACCAGCAGCATAAAATTCTTTGTGCTGCTGTTGGAACCAGGCGTGTTGCTCTTGCATGACAACGTGCATCCCCATACTGCCAACAAGACAAATGAGACACTGCGAAATTTCAAGTGGGAAGTCCTCAAGCATCCTCCGTATAGCCCCAACCTTGCTCCAAGTGACTTCCATTTGTTCAGCTGTGATAAACATCATCTTTTGGCTGAACTTTTTCCCAACGATGAAGCTGTAGTAACAGGTGTCACCGCATGGCAGACTTATATCAAAATAATAATTACCCAATCTTCAGTCCTATAAAATGGAATGAATTTCTTGAACAATAGCTTGATCATCAGCTTCTCTCAGAATGACACTACTCCATTAGTACAGATAATTTGGAATTTCTGTCATTTAATTTTGTAGAATAACACATTTCTTAACTGTAATTTTGAACCAAATGTGTATTTGTATGCTTTCAGGATTTGGATGAACTTGCCTGTCCGTTATTGCACAGAACTGCTGACACAAACAAGTTCTTGAGAGCAGACAGCAATGCTGCCCTGGATAAGATGATAGAGGTTATCAGTCCTTCAAAAGCTGTTGCCGTCATTGTAGGGAAGGGCATAAGGTGAGACATGAAGAACAAATGTTTCTAATTTAATTTTTGGTTCAGTTCTTTCATTGTTATAGACATGTCATAGAAGAGCATAGACAGTTATGCTGTGTATTATAGACACAACTGTTCTGCCAAATATACAAATGTCCAACAACAAAGTGTTTGTTTTATGATATCCCAAATCTGAGAAGTGGGAAACTTTTCTTTAGATGCCATTGTAACTGTTGTATCTTTTATAATGCAACTCAATATAAATCATTTTATACAACTTACAAACATAATAAAAGAATTGAGGTTTTCACAGCGGTAACTATGAAGAAAGCAGTATTCTGGGATGTGGTACCATGTAGATGTGGTGTTAACCGATGTTTCGGAGGAACGTATCGCCTCCATCTTCAGGGTAGAAGGAAAAATAGGAAAATCTGCAAGCGAAGAGACAGTGAGAACCAGTGCAAGCAGACTGAACTGATGATGGAAATAAACTCAGCTATGTGAGAGCAGTGAAGGGGGGGGGGAGTCTACATGGGAAATCAGTGGAGAGGGTCTGGGTCTGGGACAGAAGCAGGCCTTTCTCTCCCCCGACACAGTATCCTATACAAAACCCTGCTGTCCCAGAGCCATCCCCCCTCCATCTCCACTGATTTCCCATGTAGACTTTCCCCCCCTTCCTTCCCTGCTCTCACATAGCCGAGTTTATTTCCAACATCAGTCCAGTCTGCTTGCACCGGTTCTCACTCTCTCTTCGCTTGCGGATTTTTTTTTCTTCTACCCTAAGATGGAGGCGATACGTTCCTCTGAAACGTCGGTTAACACCACATCTACATGGTGCCACATCCCAGAAGACTGCTTTCTTCATATTAAAAGAAGTATCTTTTCCATTTCATCTATTTTACCATTTTCAGGTATTTTCACAATTTTTCAACTAACTGAACTCTTTTTTTCTTAAAAAACAGTTTACTGAGGGCAGAAATATTTTATATATGGAGAGATTTGTGATTGCTTACATAATGATTATCAAATGCACTGGAGAAATGAACATAAAGAATTAAGAATACTTATAACAGGAATAAATATTTGACATTTTGGATCTGGAGAAACAAAATGATAAAAGAAGAGAATGTACGCTTAATAGGCATGTTTGATAGAAGAAATTGTACATGAAATTATCGTTCTTATACAGAGAAATGTGCACTGCAGTTTCAGCAACTATTCTTACTGCTCGTGGTGGTTACTTATTTTATTCATCAGATTTCATGTGGGATATTATTTTTCCTATAATCCTTTCCTATTTTGTCTCCTTCCCTTCTGTCTTCATTGTTAATTTACCATTTCTTGTCTGCTCTCTACTCATTCCCTTCCTCACTCTTCTTCACATTAGCCCAGCTCCATTATATCTGTTCTTCCATAATTTTACCTGCTTCCAACTTAACTCAAACATTCCTTTTCCATTCAATTTATATTTTATCCTATTATCATTGGCGGGATACAGTTTGGATACCCCACTCCAAATCCATATAATGGCATATATCCTAGCAACAATAGAAGACATTTTGGGTTTTACCACTTATCCTGGCAGAAACAGATGATTTTTTTTAATTCACTTAGTGGGGGGTGGAGTCCAACTGGATTCACTCAGCATGGCGGCCAATGATTGGCCTATTGTAGCCTGCCCCATGTGATTATGATGATGGAGAATTTGGTGGAATGAAGATTGGCAGGGGAAACCAAAGTACTCGGAGAAAACATGCCCCAGTGCCACTTTGCCCAACACAAATCTCACTTGACCACACCCGGGATCGAACCCGGACTGCTGCAGTGGGAAGCCAGAGACTAACCACTTGAGCTGTGATCCGGCCCCAGCGACAGATGATAGATTGGGTTTTGACCCATGTTCTAATATTGGCAGAAGACAGACGAGTTTCCTCATATATCCTAGCAAGAACAGAAGGTAGTTTGGTTTCTGTCATATCCTAGCAAGAGGAGAAGGTAGTTTGGTTTCCCTCATATGCTAGTAATAGCAGATCATGGTCACAGCTTTTCCTGCATTCAAGCAGCATTAGAATATAGTCTCAGTTTTTCCCATATCATAGCAATGATCTCATTGTTCTCACAATCCCAGTGCCTTTCTTGTGGCACAGATAATGGAAACATGATTTAGTAACAAAATTAACAGTTTTCTAAGTGCTTTCCTACATTTGTATCTTTATGAATTTGTTTCTGTATTGCATGATTTGGGAGGAATAGGCTGGGATAGGAGAACGGATGGACTTTGGCGAATATATATATATAATTAAGACTGCAATAATCAATTCAATCTCCTCTTAATTTCCTCCTGAATCAGGTTTTGATCTGTTATCGTCGTTCCCAAATATGTGAACTGTGCCGCATTTTCAAAACATCTGTTTCCTATCTTTATGTCATGATTTTGCCCTGCATTTTGGTGATGAGACAGTAACATATACTTAGTTTTCTCTGTGTTTACTTCTGGACCAACCTCTTTACTTGCATTAATTAAAGTTTGTGTGTTTTTCACTATAAACAAAAATGAAATACACATATGTGTGTATGAATTATTTAATGTATGCTTCAAAATTATGTTTTAATAGAGCACTGAGAACATTAAAATAATGAAACAGATATCATTATAATGCAATCTGTGCTCTACAAAGGCTCCCTATTGTTTTTGGTTATTTTATTCTCAATTGCCATTCTGTTCAGGAGGTAGTGATGAATTGTTTTATGTGAAAGTCTGAAAATGTACTCATAACATCACTGTTGCAAGCTGTCTTGAAAATTTTATGAATTATGAAGAAAGTGTACTGAACATAAAGTGTGACTTCCATTTCTCTTTACAACTTTTGTTTGGAGCATTTTTCTCTCCAACAGAAACACATATAGGTCCTCATGTGAAGTAGGCAAGAAGCTTGTCCTAAATAAAAATTTATGTGGCTTGACTGTTTTTCATAAAATCATCCTGTATCAAATATCATGAAACAATGTTCATTGCTTCCTGAATTGTTTTATGTGTATGGTCAAACGGGCTAAGTGAAAATAATAGACACTCCACAGTGTTATAAATGCATCTACTAAAATTACTCCAATATAAAAGTTTCTTGTATGAAAGTATGTGTTTTTAATGAGTTTAACTATAACCCAGCTTGTTTTTAAAAACTAAGTATTACACACAATAAAATGATACAGTGCATTGTAGCAGTTTGAATACAGTATATGCCTGATGATGGTGTTATATGGCTAAAATGTCATAAAACATATATGAAACTTAGACTAAGTGGTATTTAACCAATCGATCAAACGATGCACTTACAAAACTATTGCATGTGTGTGTGCGCACGTGCCAAATTAATTCAATAGGATATTGCAAACATAAACAACTTTCAGCAATAAAATTTAAAATTTGAGAGTAACAGCTTTAACAAGAAATCGTGTATAAAAATTTTTCACTTCTTATTCACTGCCTCACATGCAGACTTGTGTTAAAATCTTAAAATTCAATTTTGAATTTTAAAATTATTTTTCATATTGCTGGTGCTGTACATATTTCAACCAATATGGTCATCATCAGGTGCTTACAAAAATTCTGTTTGGAAACTGCTGCACTTCTGTCAATGAATACAGTTCTAAAATACACCCTCACTTATGTGCCCATATGCTGTTGTACATTTATAATGCTGGATGATTCCTAGTACGTGTCATGTACAGCTGTACAGGACACATAAGAGGAATCTCCCAGCACTACCATACCATAAAGAAAACTATAGTAATTTCCTATCCAAGCTCTCAGGGTGTGATAACTACAGGAGCACACTTTAACTCTATAATGGCTGTAGCCAACAATAGTATCAATTATGGAGGCCTTCTTAGAGTGTCTTTGATTCTTTCATAGTGCATGTTGGCAGTAGTGCATATTTTTAAAAAATCTTAATAAGTCAGGTATCTCTGCGTGAAAGGAAGACTGCATAACATTTTGGTTTCCAAAAGAACTGTGTTGCTTCTTCATAATTGTATAAACAAGCTTTCTGTTTTAACTGTCCTGACTGGATTTAGTTACAGAAGATTCTGGCTTGCTATGTGGTTAGTAGGGTCGCTGTGCTGGCGTCATTTTAAACTCACTCTAACTTTCTCTAAAAGAAATGTCTCGGTTTGAGTTTGTACAATTATTCTGTACTTTAAATTGTGTTTGAAGTGCACAGCCATTCTGTACTGTCTATTCACTTGGTCAGAATTACTTGCTAAATTTTTTGTGTTCTTTTAACAATTTTCATGGATGTCCAGCTTGCCTTCCCTTCTGTCCATGTTGAATAGTGATAGTTCTGAGCACTGGCATAAGACTAGGCTTTCACTGGGCTATAACTTCGGCATGGGGGATCTTTTGAATATAGGACCATCAAAGCTGTGACATGCTGCTTTATGCTAATTGGGGATTAAATGGAATGTTGATAGCTACTTTCTGTCTCTCTGAAAATCTGACAATTGAAAACATAGTTCCTGGTTAGATGTTTTGTTGCTGTGAAAGTCCTCAAGGGTACCTTTAGAATGTATTCTGTATTACCTTGTTTTTATGGGTGTTGACATGTGAGGCACTGTGGGACCAAACATCTTGAATGTTTCTATAACCAACCACTTGATCAAGTACACTCTGTTCCTCAGTCACCACATTTAACTATGGAATTTTTTGACCTGTTTGCATGAAACCTAGCTTGAATATTATAACTCCCCACCCTTTGTGTTTTTTTCCTAAAAAAGTTTTATTAAGTAGTTACTTCCAAAAATATAAAGCAACAGCTTTTCAACAGTACAGAATATTTTTATGTGATGACAGCTCTATCCTGTCTTGCCAGATTGAGCAACATGATTTAATGGTAATGATCCTGGCTTCTATTCAGGAAGAGCCAAATTCTAATATCAGCTGGGTTATCCACAGTTTGTCAACAGTATTATCCATTATGTCAGTGGCATGTGTTTTTAGGCATTTTACATGCCATTTAAATTCACTCTGTGTTTATAGTTTTTACCAGTCAATATTGCCTTTTGTACACTATTTTATTATGTTAGGTGAAGAAGTGAATATAAAGAACTAAGCAAGGCATGTAGCAGTTATAAATTTGTGACAGTTGGGGTCTTATGGAGAAAAATGTCCATTTTACTATGTCTTAGTATGTCAGGGAGTTTTAAATATTAATTCTCCTTTGATATTCCCAAACACTGAAATGTTGCAGCCACCAGAATGCCATTGTACGAACTTCTTGTGCCCGATTGTTGGTGAGTTTGGTGAACAGGATTGGTGTAGATAAAGTGATGGCACACCCTGGAGACATCAGGGACAAGATCCTCATTTCTGGCTCCAACCTGTTGACGGAAGGAAGTCTGGACACCAGGTGAGGTGGAAGGCTGGCATCTGGATTCACTATCTCATGATAGGGACTGGGTCTTCTGAACATGGTCATAAACCTTAAGAGTCCATAATAATGTGGGGAATTTCCCAACCAGTTGAAAGACTATTAACTTCTTGAGAAGGACACTGATCCATGTTGTTATTTGGTTACACCACGGGAAAATGTGGAACCCTGTGATTATACAGTGTATTTAAAATCTTAATATCACATCTATTCCAGCTTTTTAAAAGAGTTCAAAGCATACTAAACAGTGTATAAAGAAAAAAAATGATCAAACCTGACCACATTATAGCATATTCAATGTTACTGTTCCTCTTTTGTGACATTATTATTTGTCTGTTAACCTGAAGTTCACAGTGAACATTTACCCGGCATTCCTTTGTAGTTGCTGTTGACTGTCTTATAGATAAACAGGTTGTAAAATTGAGCAAAATACACTTAGAGGGCGTATTTTGTGAAAAGAATTGTAAATGACATGTAGACATCCATAATGTTTAAACTGTTTATAAGAAAAGAATATTTAATTCATGCTGAAAAGGGAAGTAATATTCCATAATTGTTACAATGCATGCAGCCACAAAAGAAGGACACATCACAAGACACAGTATACACAAAATATAGGAAGAATGATATAATATGCGAGTTTGAAATACGACTAATATGTTGGGTTTTTGGACTTTATCCATCGTCCTGGTTTTTAAGATAACAAATAAAAACACGACNAGTGCAATAGTTTAACGTAATTAACACACCCGAGGATGGCACAGTGATGCTGAAACATGTAGTGAAGTGACAAGTGAGATTGTGTGCACTAGCAGATGGTCACATACACATACATACATACTTACAAACATAGACATACACATCATGGATATAATTAGAATTATGTTGGGACGCAGAAGGATTGATTCGTGCAGGAACTTATTTAGAGAATTAGAAATCTTACCACTGGCATCTCAGTACATCCTATCTCTTATGCTCTTTGTGATAAAAAATAGAAACAAATTCATAGTAAATTCAGAGATTCATAGAATAAATACCAAAAGGGAGTTTACTGTTTAGGAACAAAGGTCTATAATAATCTACCACAATATATTAAGGATATATCGAGTGACACTAAGAGTTTTGAGGTACAATTAAAACAATTTTTGTATTTACATTCTTTTTATTCTTTACAGGAATATTTTTGTTATAAATCTTTTTAAGGTGCCAGTAGTTGTCTTGTTTACAATTAAAGGAAGATGAGGTTGTCAGTCTGTGTTCTGGTTTTTAGATGCTTATTTTAGATATACATAATTTTTATATTACTGTATACTAGTCATTGTTTCAATTTATTATATAATTGATGTATGTTATACAAGACTCATNGATTTATTATATAACTTTAACTATTGAATTTTTAATTAATAGACTTGCATAAAACTATACAAATTGAATAAGGTTTGCCATTACTTTTACTGCTAAAATTAACTTATTTATTATATTGTACATGTTTATCAGTATTTTATACAACTGTGCATGCTATTAGATGACAACTGTAATCTTTAGTTGTGACTATAACAAGGACAATCTCCACATCCACATGAGAATACTCTCGACAGGATTTATGGAAGGTGAATAAATGAAATGAGGCATTGTTGTTCACCACTGTTACACTTATGAGAAGAACATGTCAGATTTCATGAAAATTCTTTCAGCAGTTAAGTTGCTTAGTGCATACAGGCAGTCTGAAAGGCAAGTGGAACTTAATAGGCACTTCACAGTGTTGTAAATGTGCTTAAATCATACCCACAAAATATCAAAAGCAGTTAAAAAATAACAGTATCCTGGGCTTGTTGTAGGTAAATAAAAAAAACAAATTTAAATATGGTTAAAGGTGTTTTTTTTAATATTTTTCAATTCTTTAGACCATAGGTCTGTTTTATTCTAAAACTTCAATGTCACTATCTTTTAAATGGTCCTTCAGGAATTGTTCCCTCTTTATGAGAGTTTTCCTTCCTCAGGGACTTTGTGCAATATGTCACTTTGGTATGTCTGATGTATCATACTCGTATAACCCCCAGTCCATGGGTTCTCATTCAGTATATTCATATCACCAAATCTGGTGGGGTCACCCAAGGTTGAGGTTAGAGAATCCTCGAAATATTAAACTATACAACATGATAACTGAAAATATACAGTGGTCAAGATATTATTTTGTGTATGAATCATTGTTATTATTTTTTTTCAGGTGCTTTGCCAAACAACTGTTTCGAATGCTGTCCAGCTACCCAACATTTAATTCAGTAATGTCTGAAGTGATCCCATCACATGTACTGAGAAATATCAGCAAAACACTCCAGAACTTGAAGTAAACTCCATAAAAGAATTAATCTAGTTTTCGGATATGTTTGAATATGTTTCGTTCTCAAAATATATTAAGTGCTCTTGTGTAAGTTTATATTAATACCTTATTAATTGCTGAATAAAGTTTATGATAAACTGAAGATCTGAACAAAAATGAGAATTGATACTGCAAATACACCCGGCATGAATTCCAACTGTAAACTAGATTTCCTTCTTTAAAAGCAACTGTTGTAGTTACTGTCAAACTGGAAAAGTCAGAATCATCTCATTTCCTATTCATTGATAAGTAGTCACAATCATGATGTGTATTTGTACCAACCGTCTTACAGTGCACACAATTTCACGTTTCTCCTCACTACATGTTTCGGCACTAATGTGCCATCTTCAGGTGTGGTTTTCTTTTATATATATTGTGTGCTGTGAGGATCAACATAACTCGCGAATTTGAAGTACGACATATAGATGATAAATCTTGAAAAGTTTTAATATACAAACTTTATTATCATGACATATATATTTTTTGATCATTTTATAAAGGAGTCGGCCAGAAACCTTAGAAGTTGAACCGGAAGAAGAAGTAGATACAGACGAGAAAGGACCATATATTTTACAAAGTGAGGTGGAAAAAGCTATCAAGGAAATGAGGAAGGGAAAGGCTACAGGAGATGATGATGTACCTGGAGATGTGCTCAAGTTACTGGGAGAAGGTGGTTTGAAAACACTGACAAAACTAATGAACACCATA